AGGGAGGTAGAGAGAAAACAGGGAATTATAGACTGGTGAGCCTGACATCAGTAGTGGGGACAATTCTCAAATCTATTGTCAAGGATTTTATAGCAGAGCATTTAGAAAGCAGTGGAAGAATCTGACAAAGCCAGCATGGATTTATGAAGGGAAATCATGCTTGACAAATCTGTTGGAATTCTATGAAGATGTAACAAGTAGAGTTGACAAGAGGGAGCCAGTTGATATGGTATATTTGGACTTGCAGAAAGCATTTGACAAAGTCCCTCATAAGAGATTAATGTGCGAGATTTAATCGCATGGGATTGGGGAAAGTGTATTGAGATGGATAGGAAACTGGTCGGCAGAGAGGAAACAAAGAGTAAGGGTCCTTTTTAAACTGGCAGGCAGTGACTAGTGTGGTGCCACAGGGATTGGTGCTGGGACCCCAGCTATTCGCAATATATATTAATGATTAGGATGAGGGAACAAAATATAACATCTCCAAGTTTGCAGATGATACAAAGTTGGGTGAGAGGGTGAACTGTGACGAGGATGCAGAGATCCTTCAGCATGATCTCGACAGGTTGGATGGTGGACAAATCAATGGCAGATGCAGTATAATTTGGATAAATGTGAAGTTATTCACTTTGGAAGCAAAAACAAGAAGGCAGATCACTACCTGAATGGCTGTAAATTGGGAGAGGGGAGTGTGCAACGGGACCTGGGCATCCTTGTGGACCAGTTGCTGAAGGTAAGCATGCAGGTGCAGCAGGCAGTAAAGAAGGCAAATGATATGTTGGCCTTCATTGCAAGAGGTTTTGACATAGGAGCAGGGATGTGTTGTTGCAGTTATACAGGGCCTTGGTGAGGCCACACCTGGAATATTGTGTGCAGTTTTGGTCTCCTTTTCTGAGGAAGGATGGTCTTGCTCTCGAGGGAGTGCAGCGAAGGTTTACCAGACTGATTCCGGGAATGGCGGGTCTGACCCATGAGGAGAGATTGACTAGGTTAGGATTGTTTTTGCTAGAGTTGAGATGAATGAGGGAGATCTCATAGATACTTATGAAATTCTAACAGGACTGAACAGGGTAGAGGCAGGGAGAATGTTCCCGATGGTGGGTGTGTCCAGAACCAGGGGTCAGAGTATGAGGATTTGAGGTAGACAATTTAGGACGGAGATGAGGAGACATTTCTTCATCCAGAGGGTGGTGAGCCTGTGGAATTCATTACTACAGGAAGTAGTTGATGCCAAAACATTGAATGTATTCAAGAGGCAGCTAGATGTAGCATTTGGGTCGAATGGGATCAAAGGTTATGGAGAGAAAACAGGATTAGGCATTGAGTTGGACGATTAGCCATGATCCTAAGGAGTGGCGGAACAGACTTGAAGGGCCGAATGGCTCCCTCCTATCTTCTCTGTTTCTTTGTTCCTATACAGCAACAAACCTTCCATCTAATTTTTGCTTGCATTATTTGCTACATACTGTATTGAGCCACTTATAAACCAAAATTATGGGCAGAATTTCCTGTGCCTATAGGCATAGGTCCTGAGGCAGGAAGTGAACTGAATTCGGGGAGCTGGTTACACACCAGAACACTGCCACCTTCCCACTTTCGTCCAAACTCCACCTCCACCAATGTCAATTGAGGATGTGAAGAGGTCAGTTAGTGATCAGTTAGGGGCCTCATTGTAACCAGGCAGCAACTGTTTCAGCTCCAGGTGCAACAGGGCAAAAAAGAAATGACGTACTCTGCTGTTAAACCACAGTGGACAGGCTGTAAATGGAGATAGGTGGCAGGGGTGTGGAGAAATGGACTCCATAAATTTGCACTAATCTGATCAAAGGACTGGACCTATTTGCTTCTTGCTGTTCAGGAAGATCTGGGTGGGATTTCCCATCTTCAAACAGTTCAGGTTTCCCTTTCAAAACTCTCCAGCTTTCGGTAGTCCGTGCAGATGCAGATCCTGGCCTGCGTCTCTCCTCTTTGCCCTTGGCAACGTAAATCTAACAAACATACTGTTGTACCTTTCTCTGTGTCCTCCTGATCTTTTCAATTCCTGCCAACATGGAAGGAGTGTATCTCCACACAAAATCGGACAGCACACTCCTCAAGGTCTGAACTGTCAGCATGTCGCAAGATGACAGCAAAGCCTAGACGGTTTACACATACCAAGAAAGACAACTCAATAACCTCCAACTCTGTTGCCTACGAAACATCCTTGGCACTAGAGAGAAAGAAAGAAACACCAATGTAGATGTCTGGGTGAGTGCAGGCCCAACAGCAAGAAGCATGAGACCACTGGCACCACATCCACAGATATTACATCTCTCCAACACTAACGTACCCTCTACAAGATGCACTGCAGAAATTCACCAAGACTGCTTAGCCAGCTAATTCCAAACCCACAACCACTTCCAACTAAATGGACACAGGCAGCAGACACATGGGAACACCACCACCTGCAAGTTCCCCTGCAAGTTACTCAATATCCTGACTTGGAAATATATTGTCGTTTTCTCAGTGTTGCTGTGTCAAAATCCTGGAACTTCTCCATAATGGATTTGTGGGTCTACCTACATCAAATGCACTGCAGCGTTTCAAGAAGGCAGCTCACCACCATCGTCTGAAGGGCAACTAGGGATGGGTAGCAAATGCTGGCCCAGCCAGCAAAGCCCACATCTAATGAAGAAATATTATAAAAAAGGTCCCTTTGAGTGCAAACATGCCAATCATGCTGATGCTAAGCACGCAAAGAAGGTTTTGTCGGTTTGGGCATGTGTGCAAAATAGAATTTGGCTGTACTATATGGATAGATTGCCTGTATTAAGAACCAACAAGATTCCAAAGCTTCAATTCAAGAACACTGTTAAAAAAAACACAAAGTTCCTCAACATTAATCATAACAAGTGGGAAACTGCAGCCAATAATTGATGTAAAGTTACAAAGCAGATGGCAGCTTTATAATAGGTGCTACCATTTTCTCTAATACTGATGTAAGACTAACATGTTTGTTATCTATAGTAGCTTAACATTTGATACCTTAAAATTTGCAGGAGCCATTGCAGAATGGATAAAACTTTGGAAGATGATCACCAATTCATCCACAATCTCCATAGCTACTTCTTTCAACATTCTGGGATGTACAGTATCAGGTCCTGGGGACTTAAAAGCCTGCAGTCACACAACTTCTGGAACACAATCTTCTTAGCAATATCAGTATACTTCAATTCCTAATTTTCCCTCGTCTCATAGATCTTTAATTCTGGGAAATTTCTGGGAGACACAACCTAATGCTCCAACATGCCTTCTCCACACCACCACACTCACATTTGTACATAAAGCTCTTTCATGTCATCCAATAAATCAATGCAAACTTCACAGTTCCAAGTAACAACAGAATATACTTAAAAGACTAATGCAATCTCTGGTAGTAAGGAAACAAAGTCTGTATTGACACTTGAAATGTTCAAGAAGCATCTGCCATGTTATAGGAAGGATACTATTAGCCGGAGAGGGTTCAGAAGAGATTTACCAGGATGTTGCCAGGAATGAAGAGTTTGAATTATGGGGAGAGGCTGGATAGGTTGGGACATTTTTCATTGGAGAGTAGAAGGTTGAGGAGTGGCGTTATAGAGGTTTATAAAATTATGAGAGGCATAGATAAAATGAATGAGAGGTGTCTTTTTCCTAGGGTAGGGGATTTAAAGACGGGGTCATATTTTTAAAGTGAGAGGAGAAAGATTTAAAAAGGACACAAGGGTTTTTTTTCTCTACACATGGAGTCATTCATGTGTGGAATGAACTTCCAGAAGAAGTGGTGGATGTGGGTGCACTTAAAAAGTTTAAAAGACATTTAGATAAATAAGAAATGTTTGGAGGGATATGAGCCAAGTGCAGGCAGGTGGGACAGGTTTACTTTGGGAATGTGGTCAGTATGGACTGGTTGGGCTGAAGGGTCTGTTTCTATGCTGTATGACTCTATATTGTCAGATCACTCTAACTGGACTCCTCGGCAATAAATGCAATGGTAAGATCTATTTGATATTGATTGGGTCTACCTGAGTTTGGTGGGTTCATGTTAATTTACTTGCTGAAATGTCAAGAATTGAGGGACCTGAATATTAAAATACTACTCAGTTTAGGTGACTTCAGTCTTTGCCATAAATGTTCATCAGTGACTCGAACTGTTGTCCTCAGAAGGCTAATGAGGAAGATGGTGTGCATTGTCGTTGTGTTACACGGGCAAATGAGTTCAAATAAAGAAAAAACTGTGAATTCTGATTCCTGTACTTCACATATGAGAAAAAACGTTGACATTAACATGGTCCAATATTAGTAACAGTTGGGAACAAAGTTCACTGGTTTTAAACAGATTTGCTCAAATCATATCAATTCTACAGATTTGTTCCCAAAAACACACGCTGACTGAAATGGTTTGCTAAGGGTAATACCATACAATATCACATTTGATGTATATCCTGCTGAAATGGTTCCCAAGTGGTGATAAGATTATTTCATTGTGCGAAATGATTGACAAGTGAATATACTACTCCCAGTCTCCGATGTTATAGAATGTTGGCACTTTCGACAAGGAGTGAACTGGTTCGGTAGTCAGATATACAGCTGAGGTGAATTTGTAGCTTAATTGTTTCTTTAACAATTGTTCAAATTTTGTTTTCTTTTTAACTTTGTGGCAGTGGGACATTGCACAGATCTGTTGCACTTATTGCAAATCAGTAGTGAATAGTTAAGCTAATACTATACACTTATTATTTTGGCAGAGCAGAAGCTAAACTTAATTGTGAATGCTGAATAGAATTCTCACTGGAACTTGTTACTGAATCAAAATCAGAAATTGCTGAAAAAACTCAGCGGATCTGGCAGCATCCGTGGAGAGAGAAACAGAGTTAATGTTTCGGGTTCAGTGACCCTTCTTCAGAACTCCATCAGTTCCAAAGAAGGGTAACTGGTCCCGAACCGTTACCTCTGATTTTTCTCCACAGATGCTGCCAGACCTGCTGAGTTTTGTTGTCATAACATGTGTTTGCCACCAAAGAGCTGTGCAGTTTAATTCATATGGAACGAGGAGGACCAGGACTGCTGTCGATTTCACTGCTTCATCTTCCTAAAGGGACAGTTGCCTGAGGAGGTGTGCCAGATGTTGAAATGAGGCTGCCAATGGCTGATTTTCCTGGTTGACTGCTGGCCTTTCAGTGTGAGCACAGACTAATTTCTATTGGATTCAGTAAAGCAGATAAATAAGAACGAGCATGTATACAGACAGAAAAACAACACTGAAATACAGTGAAAGGCATACACATGCAGATCGATGAAAAATTACAGGAAGTTAGAAGGTAAAGTTGCTGTGGTCCCACCAAACCATAAGGCTACTTTCTCAGTACAGAGAGAGATGACTGGTGGCAATTTAACCTGACTGTCACCGTGCCTCAGGTGAGGGGAGAGGTTGAGAAGGAGAGTGCTTCATGGCAACCTCAGACAGTGCAGAAATTGAACCCACACTGTTGACATCTCTCTTACATTGCAAACCAGTCATCCAGCCAACTGAGCTAACTGACCCACTGAAGAAAAGTAATGGGTGCTGAAAAAGGAGGAAAACGGAGAGTGAGTCTCACACACACACACACACATATACATAGACAAGGATGTGGTGTGATAGAAGTGCACAGAAATTCAGGGAGAAGAACAGGCAAGCAAAATATAAGATTCATACATTCTCAGAATTGGAATAAGGATACGAAACCTCACCATGAATAATCTTGACAAAATGTCAGGACAATGTAAGGCAGATGCTTCCAAAACAATTTTTGAAACTCTTCTCTCCAAAGCTGCCCGTAATCACCTTACTAAATCTTCACTGTTTTTCTTGTCTCGATAGAGTAAGCCTAGGACACTACTTCAAGGCGTTCCAAGAGACTAGAACTGAAGGAAATATAGCAACAAGTGCTGGAGGCACTCAGCAGGTCTGGCAGCATCTGAGAGTAAAACTGGTTAAAGAAGAACTTAGGGCAGATACAAAGAAATCCCTCATCATGCAGAATAATCAGCAGTTTGTATGGACACTCTATGATGCACCAAATAGCCTCCAACATGGCATTTATCTATTTTAGATTTATTTATTTATTGTCACGTGTATATTGTCACAAAATAAAGTGAAAAATGTTGTAGAGTGTCACCGTTCGCTGGTGCCATCTTAAAACACAGAAAAACAAACCAAAATATAGAACACAGCAGGCCAAGCAGCATCGTAGGAGCAGGAAGGCTGACGTTTCGGGCCGAGACCCTTCATCAGAAAATATAGAACATAAAGGCAGAAAAAAGTAAAGAGAGTTCAACTTTCCAGTTATTCCTGTGAAGTCATAGCCATGGGCCCACAACAGCCAGACACAAACCCCTTTGCTGCTCCACTGGAACAAGAGTTGCCACTCTCTGGTGCCATTGGGCCTCCACTGACGCTGTCACCACCATGAGCCTGTGCTGGACCTCGCCAATACAGCCACCACCAATGCTGCCAGGTCATGTACTGGGCCCAAACTCGCCTCCGAAGCCGCCTCCATTAAGCTGCGCTGGATACAGACACCACAGGGAACAACAGCAACCAAGGGTCCGCACAGGGCTCACCTTGCTGTTGCTATCACCGCGGCCAAGCTCTTCACAAGAAGTACGAGGTGAGTAAGAAGAAGAAAAGTACAAGAAAAGGGAGCAAAAGAAAAGAAAAGTGGACAAGCCCCGGGCTCAAGAGCCCTACTCTGCTGCCATCTTGGACACATTATCCTGTTTATAACCAGTTTAATTGTGTTTAATTGTGCGTTACAGTCAAGGCTGAACTAAACTCACTTCCTGTTCTTCCCAACTATTCTACAAACCTGACAAATATTTACTTAACGCAATGCCTGGTCTCAACAGAGGGAATGCAAGAGTTAACAGCTGCTGAGTAACAAATTCTGACTCTCTGCAGTGAATGAGATGGCTTTGTTATCGCAGATTGCAAGAGATGCCAATGACAATCTGATCTGATATCGCAATAGTCAGTAATATAACTCTGCTCTAAACCAATTATATAAAGTTGGAGCACCAATTATTTACAATTCTCCGATGAAATCTTCAAATCCTTTTAAGATATTCATTTGATACATAATGGATTTAGTGAAAAGGTTAGAACATCAATGCCCAACATCAGGCTAACCTTTGATCACTATAATTTTAGTCATAGAGTCATAGAGATGTACAACATGGAAACAGACCCTTCGGTCCAACACATTCATGCTGACCAGATATCCTAAATTAATCTATTCCCTTTTGCCAGCATTTGGCCAATATCCCTCTCAGTCATTATGAACTAATTCACCTGAGGATTTGGATACTGGCAAGTCATTTATTGCAAATTATTGTATCATTAATAAACACTCAGGACCCAATCAAAAAACTCAAAATGCTTGGTCTTGCATCTCTGAACCCCAGTTCGACCCACTCCTGGATTCTCTCGTACTACTCTAAGTGGTGTAATAGTAGTGTCCCTACCTCTGAGCCAGGAGGCCTGGGCTCAAGTCACACTTACTCCGAATGTTTCTCTGAGCAGGTTAGAATATATCCATACCACCCCACAATGCCTCTCTCCAGGAATCCAGCAACAAGTGAAGACCTACCTGCAATACTGGCAGCATCCATCATTCCCAGTAATGTTGCTGGCAACAGAGAACTACAAGCCTCTGATTGGCCAGCAGTTCTCTATATTTGAATTATTGCCTGTGTGATGCCTCACAAGGCTGAAGAATGCATCAAATTTTCTTAGGATTTCCATATTAACAATGATTTCTTCAGTAATTCCCCATCAGACCAAGATGTCACCTACTCTACCATCTTAGAGATGGGTACTCGCCTGTTCCTTGTTAGATTTTTCTACTAGCTTTGATGCAGCCCTGTACCTCGCAAATCTGCAAGGACAGTTCAGCGACTTTAAAACCTGATTTTGGCCGGCTAGGCTTTCAGAAGAATGTGGTGAGATCCCTTTATCACCCTACAAAACTCTTAACAGGATTAGACAGGGTCGACGTTGGAAGGACATTCATGATGGCACAAGTCCAGAACTGGGGGTTATAGTTTAAGTTACAGGGAAAACCACTGAAGACTGAGATGAGGAGAAATTTCTTCAGCGGTGCGCCTGTGGAATTTGCTACCACGGAAAGCAGTACAGGCCAAAACATTGTGTGATTTCAAAGAGGAGTTGACTGTAGAACTTGGGACTAAAGGGATCAATGAATATGAAAGAAAAGCGGGGTCAGGCTATTGAGTTGAATGATCAGCCATGGTCATAATAAATGGTGGAGCAGCCGAGAAAGGCAGAATGTCCTACTCTGGTTCTGATATTCTATAATTTCCAAAACACACTCGTAAGAGCGAGGTTTTTTATATTGCTTTTCTTTCATTTAGTCATGATCCACATGCTTTTTGATTGCTGATTGATTTTTTTTGGGCCACTTCCTGGCTTATTTTTCTGGTGCTGTCCTTTCATTCACAGTTTGTTTTCTTTGCTGCCTTTTAGTTTTCAGTCCTTTCCCCTGCTGTCACATCATTGTGATTGTCATGTAGTTACGTTCAGAGCTGGAGGTGAGAGGGGCTGTGCAAGGCTTGGCCATTCTTAAACATAACCTTTCGTTGAACATTGCCTCACTACAGGCTTTGCACAAGGATTCACACATTCAACCATCTCTCAGTAGTTCTGGCAGTCATGTGATCTTACATCATCAATGATGTAACTTATCCTATTAACATATTCATATTAATCCTTCACACTACAGCAGTAACCCAATGTTGCAGGACTGTCCACTTTAGCGCCTATCTGAAGCAGACTGTGTGACAAGGGCATGCAATGAAGAAAGTGTGCGGTGTGTAAAAATGTTTGCTACAATGTCAGATACCAGAGCTCAACCCAATTTAAAACCACTTAAAAGCTGAAGATTTCTATTTCAAGTTCACATTGAGAACTTGATTGGACTTCTTTGCATAGGCACCTGAACCTCACTGAACTTGCGGCCAATGTCAAACTAAAGTCAATGTGTGAAGTATCATTTATGCCTTGGAAGGCAATGTGCTCAAATTCAGTTCTGCTCTGTCTGGTATCCTCTGTAAACTGCACTGTGCTTGTACAAACAGCTCAGCAGCACTTTCCTGGGCTTGAGAGAAGCAGGAAGCTGGTTTATGCAGCCACTGAAATGCAGAAATTGGGAATTGATTCAGTCTTCTGACATGACCCTTTGGATTGTTTTTCCTCTGGCCAGTCAGTGCTCCATTGCCTGTGAATCCACCTCCTTCCAGAACATTAGAACCATATAACTAGGCCAAGAGATCACCTCTTGTTCGTTCACCGACACTGAGAGGGAGTTTAAGCTTTAAAATGCTTTGAGCATGCCCTAAGCTTTAAGATGCTGCAGCCAGTGAAAGGGGATTTTGCATTTACTGCTTTAGATGCAATGAAGGTTGGTGTGTGAGCTAGCAGGGGAGCAGCAGCAAGGGATCTGTGGAAACTTCTCTACTCAAGGGAATTCAAGCATATTCTCTGCAATTGTGTCCTCACTGTTTAACCCTTTGTGAGCCCAAGTGCCCACGGAATTCATCCAAATTCTGGGCATCAAAAGAGGAAAACAATTCTGCTGGAATTGTGCCTACAAGAAGGGTTCAAGAGTGGGATGGGGAGGGGGGGTGGGGTGGGTATTGGTGAGTCTTGCTCTTGATTTTCTTGGCGATGGTGAATACTCCTACAACTGTTCACCAAGTTTGGCTGAACGCCCAGACAGAAATCAGACAGATAGAGTTTAAGGAACATGTAGGTGAGCCTCTGGGGTAAGCTGTGAATCACCATGACCTCAGTAGCCATGTGTTCCTACTTTGCTAAGAGGCTGGAAACTCTACGCTGCACCGTAGCCTCGCCATCATTGGTGAGCCTGTTAATAAATGTTACCTCGGAAGTCTGGCTTGAGATTTATGGAAAACCAGAGGATCG